TATATAATATAATTATATATATTATATAATATATAAATATGCTTTATAATATATAAATATGCTTTAATATTATTAGACTGAACATTGTCAGAAATTCAAGGAGTAGGGGGAGGGAGGACCCCTGCGTAGAATAGAACGTACTGTTTTTGATTTCTGTGTTTTCTCTCGTTTCGCGCATGCATCTACTAGAGAGAGGGGATCGAAAGAGATGGTGGGCAATAACAGTATTTCATAATCTCAATTACAAGCTTGTTGTACATACAACTTGAAGCAATTTATTGGCCAATTTAATGCGATTAGTCAATTTTTTCTTTATCCGAGGTCTCGGACCGATTTCTAGCATCGTGGATACAAGGCTGTAGAGTGCGCTCCCTGGAATGCGGAATTGCGGAACGTTCGTGATGACGTTGGTCATGGCTTTTCCGCCGATTCCGTTTCGCTAAAATGTGTTGTCCTATGTTCCATTGAGCAGACATTGCGAAATGCACAATTAGGTCCGATCAATTACAAGAATCTTCCCGTAGATCACTTTCTATTAGATCTAGGATAGCGTTTGTCATTGATTGCACATCCGCAAGTTCCGCTCAATGGAACATAGGAAAATGAATTCCTGCGGATTGGAAATCACATATACATACAGGAACATTGCATCGATTTCGTTTTGTATACTCATTTTAATTTTGATTTACATTTTCGCTTTTCTGTATACTATTTATATAACATTTGTATTCTTCATATTAATCTCCATATTTATCTGGAATCTTAATTAATTATCTTTAGGATTATGTTCAGATTCCCATCCAAGTGCTACCGAGGTATCATTCTATTCTTGTAATTTACAAAATATTAAATAAGAAAGACATATGACTTAGCAAAGTCAACTTACAGTCGATATATCGATGTTAGGGATGACATCCGGAGAACACCTGGGTAGGAATCCGAACACGCTTCAGCATGTTAATTAACCATGCGTTCTTATAAGATCGAAATCAGACTATGCATTGAAGAATGAGATTGAAGATTGAAAGATTAAAATTTGATCGATCAGAACAAAAGGAGCCAAAACTTTTTGTCCTCATTGGTGAAATTTCAATTTTTAATCTCAATCTTCAATGCATAGTCTGATTCCGACCTAAGAGAGTTTTCTCCGTTTAACAACTTAATGCCTTTTTTCACCAATGTAGATTAAATTTAATCTTGGTTCAACTTACTATTCGTCTTTTTCTAGCTCTAAAGACGAAGAGTAGAAAAAGACAAAGAGTAAATTGAACCGAGATGAAAGTTAATCTACGTTGGTAGAAATGGACATTAACAAGGTTACTTTTTATAAATGTATGTACACGACAGGAATGATGTTCCCTGGCGTTCGACGCGCGGCGCTACACATTCGTACCGAATATAGATCCTTTAATCAGAGACTGGTCATCAGAATTTCGTCAAATTTTATCGAGCGAGAAAGAAGAATAGGCCATCTCACTCCTCCACCAACAGCATGTATGCATGATGTATATAGATAAATGATATTTCACAATTTAACTGAGACATTTAAATATTAAAAAAAATTATCGATCTCACTTTGAATGGTTTATAATTTGCATCAAAAATTCAGAAGAAAATTGTATTATATTTTTAATTTCACGTACCGTATAACACAATATTTACAAAAAACGATACAGAAAAAGAAAAGATGCGATATGTAATATGATATGAAAGAAATGGAAAAAAATGGAAAGAAAGTAGCAAATTAAAAAGATAGGCATTATTTTTATTTGTATTTTTTATATTTTTATTATTTTGCACATTATAGACACAGTTTCGTATATAATTAGATATTGTGACCCAGAAAAAATCAAAAAACATTCTTATACTATGATTTCTATAACTCTTATTAATTTATAATTCTTATACTATAATCATGTATATTTTTTTCAGTAATTGAAAATTAAAAGATTTTAAAAGATTTTTGAATGATACTCAATAATTTTTAATATTTGCACAAACATACAATTTTCCAAAGTAAAATCTAAACTCAATTTGAAAAAGTCAATTACAAACTTCAGTTGCTAACTTCAATTGTAATATTAATAAACTGAAATATTAATAAATTAACTTATGTTTCGCATGACAACCGTCGGCAGCCTTAAAGGCTTTTTATTAATAGTTTATTAATAGTTTTTATTAATAGATTTATTTCTATTGTATAAGTATAGAAATAAAATATAGTTAAAAATAAAATTTCATTACAAAAAAACTTAAACCTTTAATATAAAATGATAATGCACCTACTCTCTCTCTCTTTCTTTCTCTCTCTCTCCCCTCTCCTTCCATTCCAATCAATCTTTAGAATACTTTGAGTGCATGAGTGCGTGCACATTGATGTGTAGAAACATATATACATATCGTGTTCAAAAGTGATACCTCAACATAAAATCATAATTAAACCTTTGATGGTTTCTCCCATACTTCACAACACGTACATCCGTGAATCAAAATAACGACCGAAAAAATCAGAATACTTGTCCCCGAATTGATTCTTGACATTAAGTTCTATTTTTACTGCATCTCTCAAGTAGTACAGATTTAGCAGTTCCTTAAATGTACGACAGTATATTACAGCTTGGTCAAACAATCTTATTGCTTCTTCTATGTTTCCCCTAAATTAAAAAAATGCATTCAAAATATTTTCGCTAAAATCGAATTCAGAATATTTTTATTAAAAAACAACTTTCTTTATATGAGTCATGTATGTGACTACAATAAGTTAACAAATTTTAAAGTACAATAATTATGAGAAACGATTGAAAACCTTTTTATTTCAATGATTCCTAACGCTTCATATGCAGAACTGCACTTTTCATCCAATTCTATCGCTTTCTTAAGGTATTTCGCAGCTTTATCAGAATAACCGCTCCAATCAAATTGCAAAAAGGCCCTCTGCAGATAAACTAAAGACATAGATGTGTTCTCTGGATGTTTGTTTATTATTTTAGTAAAATAAATATCAGCTTTTTGGTACTGTTGACTTTCAGACATCATCTAAAAATAATTGAAAATTTTTAACAATGAATCGAAATGTAAATGGTAATAATTTATTTTCTATCCCTTTTTTATTCCAATTATTTTTTTTTTAAATTATAAGTAGTTTTATATACCTTACTATAATATTGACAACAAAATATACATTCAGGAAGATTTGTATATTTTTCGAAAACTTCCTCGGAAGCTCTCACAGCCGCTTCAATTAATCTTACATCTTTATTTAACATCGCAATGCAATAATCTGTATAGCATTTTTGTATGCATGCCATACTACAGTTTGGATTGTATTCAAGAGCCTTTTCAAAATCGTGCTTAGCTTTGTTTAGTTTGCCCATGCGCACATATAACTGAAAATACGAAATGTTATTTATATTATTTTATATATATACATTTATACGCATGCGACAAAAATATGCTCAATGTTAATGTGTTTAATACCCGTCCTCTGTGATAGTAAATATCGGCGTAACGCGGATTTATACTAATGGCTAATTCGAAATTCATGAAGGTCATATCTAGATCCATGAACTTTAGATGTAAGTATGCTCTCTTTAACAAGGCGTTTATCTTTACATCATTGGATGCATATTCGATGTTCAGTATACATTCTAAGTCTTGGAATGCAGAACCGTATTTGCCCAAAAGTGTATAAAATGTAGCTCGTAATAATAACACTTCAAGTTTAGTTGAAGGTAATGAATTAAATTCCGAACTTTCAATAATTTCCGTACACAATGGTATTACGTCATCATATTTCTTATCTTTTAACGCTTG